CCGGTAATGCTGTTTCTCGTCTACTCCAGCAGTGCCCTGTACGGACCAGGCACACAAAATAGGCAGAAGGCAGGCTCCCCTGGGGATGCGCAGAGGAAAGGGCCCCACATGCGGGAGGTGTGCAGACGTCCCCCCAGTCTTAGGGGCTTCCGTTTCCAAACAAAACCCCGCAAGAGGGTTGAGCCCTGGCCTGGGTGGCCTGAACCCCCCCCCCACCCCTCCCCTGCTTCTCTAAACTCTGTCCACTTAGTGTGCCCCGGGCCAGTCCCTGCCTCTCCTGGCCTCAGTTTCCCGGTTGGCTCCTGAGCGCTGGACACAGACCTGCGTCGCCCCTCCCAAGCCCCCCCCGTGGGTGCGGCCTGGGCTCCCAGCGCCTCGGCGGGTTTGGTGGGGTGCACTGTGGGATGCACAGGGCCTCCTTCCCGCCTGCAGACGAGCGGACCCCGCCGGGCGGCCCAGCCCCCTGCCCCCTGCCCGCAGACAGCACGTGCACAAGGGCCCGCCTTGCCGCACGCACGTGCATCAGGAGCACCGACGGCTGCCGGCCCGACGGGTACCGCGCGTCCCTGCTGGCTGCCGCCGTGAGACCCCACGACCCCCAGGCCACCCCGCTCCAGCCGGGCAGGCCGGAGACCCGGGGTCACGGGCGTCGTGGAATACTGCCTTCCCTGCTGTGCTGGCCCCCAGAGTCCGCCCCAAGGTCAGCTTGCAACGTGGCCGGGTCAGGAAAAGCTGAGTCCCGGCAGGGAGGTCAGTCCACCCCTTCCCCCTCTTCCTCTACCTTCTTTTCTTTGTGTTCCCGGCAGGCCCAGGGGACACAGGTCCAGCCCATCCCCCCTGCCATAAGAGGGGATGGGGGGAGCCAGGAGGGGCCCACAGTGACAGAGGGCCAGTGTTGGGGGTAGTCACTGTTATTAGGGGGCCCTTCCTGGGCACTCAGTGCCTTCACCCCGTTTTAGATGAGCGGTGGTACCAGTGCTCAGGGTTACTCGAGGGACCAAGCCCCGCAGAACTGAGGCTCTAAGGAGTCACCGCATAAGCTTGCCTGCCACAGGGCTATGACGTCTGATCCCACAGGTGTGCCGTGCACGGGAGCCTGAGGAGGTGGCCTCTGAGCCCAGCCTTGGCCATGAGTCTGTCGTGAATGGGGGTCCTGGAGAGGGGCAGTGCAGGCAGGGGGTTCCGTGGGAGCAAGGACCTTGTGGGTAAGGAGGGCTCCAGGGAGGCTGGAGCACGATATTAGGGGTACACACGGGGCCAGATCCCAGAGCTCTGAATGCCGCACAGAGTCAGGGACACTGCAGGTTCGGGCGGGCAGGTGACACAATCCTGGCCACCTTATCAGAGCCACGGCATCCTGGCGTTGGAGGGAGCCTAGTGGGCACGTTCTCGAGCACGCCAAAGCATGGATCCCTAGGAAGCAGCCAGGGCTGAGGAGACCTGCTTCTGTGTCCTCAGGTGCACAGTGAGGGCCGGGCAGTTGTCTGCCTCGTGCGGGACCAGGTCCGCCGCCTGCCGGGGCCAGAGCTGGCTCCCTGTCAAAGGAGCCATTCAGGATAGGTCCGTCCCCACGAAGTCAGGGGCCAAGGCAGCACTGTGCCACCCAGATGGCCAAAGTGCTCCTGCACTGTCGCTGCTGTCGTCAGGGTGATGAGGATGGAGGCACGCAGTCCTCCTGCGGACTGGAGAAGAGTGAGGGGCCGTGCCTGCAGCCGGGAGAGTGCGGCTTCTGCCGACTCATTGGGGACGTGCGGAGACTGACTCCCACGACCTGGGAAGCCCCAGACTCTTCAGTCACCCATGCTAGCAGGCAGCTTTGGGGGGTTCCAGGAACTGGGGTCCTTGGCTCTTTTTTGTGGGTGCAGATTAGGGAGCACTGGCATGGGGAAGCAGGGGTGGGCATGCTGTCCTTGGCCTTCAGAGGACTGCAGGATGAAGGTCCTCTTGCTTTGGTCCACTTCAGAGCTGGAGGAGCTGGTAAGTGCTCCCTGAACACGGTGGCAAAACCCACACTCTGATGTGTGGCTGTACCTGTCACGGTCACAGGGTTTGGAGCTGCCGCTGGGCCTGGGATCCTCCCTGGGGCCCTTGTGGTGAACGGAGGGCTGGCTTTGCAGTGGTCACACGTGCTGGGGGTGGTGTGGCAGCACACCCCGGGAAGACCAGGGGAAGCGCACAGGGAACACTGACAGGTGGTGGCCCGGCTCCTTGACCACGGCAGCCTTGGCAAACCCTCTGGATCCGAGGACGCTGAAGGCACGAGGGCTGTGAGTAGTCCGTCTGTGGGCAGTCAGGTCAGCCTGTCACTGCCGGTTTCTTCCATGTGTGTCTTCTCTGCAGCAGGAGAATTTCAGGGTCAAAGTAGATGGGAGGGTGGCGTGGGCCGGCAGTCGGGGCAGAAAATGCTTTGTGGCCTGGTCAGCCCTAGTCTGTAACTGATCACCTACCTGACACCCCAGACCCTAGAGAGCCAGCTCTGTGCCCGGCCCGGGCCAGGGGCCGTTTCCAAGATGACCTTGCTGAACTAGGAAAAGAAAAGTAACCCTACAGTTAGCAGAAGGAAGAAAATAATAAGGGTTAGAGCTGAACTAAGCAGAATGGAGAGCAGATGAGCATTTGAGAAAAAGGAGAAGTTCTTTCTTGTAAAGATTTATGCAAGTGACAGATATTTAGCTAGCGTAATAAAAAGAGACAAGACTCAAAAAGCAGGAGTCAGAAGAGACAGTGGGACATTATTAATGACTCTACATTCTACAAAAGGATTCTAAGAGTACTATAAACAGTCTATGCCTACTAATTGGTTAAGCTAGATGAAATGGACAAGTGCGTTGTAGAAGCCCACATACTCCCCAGACGGACTGAGAAAGAAATGGAAAGTCTAAATAAGGCTAGAATAAGTGAAGAGGTGGAATCGGTTAGCAGAACCTTCCCAAAAACGAAAAGCAGAGAACCAGCTGACTTCTCTGGGGCGTTCTCCCAAATATTCAAGAAGGCGTGACCTCAGTCTTTCTTGAACACCTACAAAAAATAATATAAGCAGAAGGAACGCTTAACTCACTGTACAATGCGCAAACAGAACTAAGCATTATAGTGAAAGAAATATACATCACGATCAAGTGTCATTTATTTCAGGAAGTGCAGGGGTTGTTGAAGAAAGTTAACATAAAATACCATATCAACAGAATGATGGAACACAATCTGAACCGACATAAAGAAAGTGAGTGACGATGTGCAAGACTTCAGTATGAAGACCGGTCAATAAAATAGAAACAGAAGATGACTTTCTCAGCGTGATAACAGTTGCTTGTGAGAAACTCAACTGTACCCTCATATTCAGTGGGAAAGAGCGAAAGCTTTCTTTCTAAGATTGGGAACAAGACAAGGATACCTGCTTTTACCACTTTATTTCAACATGGTAATGGAAATTAGGCCAGAGCAATGAGGCAAGACAAAGAAAGAAAAGATACCAACACTGAAAAGGAAAGTAAAAGCATCTTTATTCAGAAATGCCGTGCGCTCTGTGTAGAAAGTCATAAAGGAGGAAAAATGATTAGACCAGTAAGCATGTTGAGCAGAGTTTAGCAGAGAAGATCGACAACAAGGTCAATGGGAGAGAATTGAGACCCGAGAAATAAACCCATACATGTACGGTCAGTTGATTTTCAAGATGGGTACTAGGATCATTAAAGGAGAGAAAAAAAACCATCTTTTCACCAGATGGTACTGTGAAACCAAATATCCACATGTCAAAGAGTATAGCTGGAGCTTTACCCAACACCGTGTACAAAAATTAACCCACAATGAATCAAAATAACACTATTAGAAGAAAACATGGGAATGAGTCTTTATGACCATCTGGCTGTGTCATCTTACATGTGACAGCAAAGGCAAAGGCAACAACAACAAAACATAAATTGGGCTTCATCAAAATTAAATACTTTTTTTTTTTTTTGCATGAAAGGACCCTCGAGATTGAAAAGACAACCCCAGACTGGGAGAAAATATTTGCATATGTAAATATGATAAGGGTCATGTGTCCAGAACATAGAAAGAATCCTTACACTTCAACAACAAAACATGGTCCAGTGAAGACGAGTGAAGGACTTGAATACACATTTTGCCACAGATGATACACGAATGACCGAGAAGCATATGAAAACACGATCAGATCTTTGGAGGTTAGGGAGACGCCAATTAAAACCACAATGAGATGAAAAAAAAAGGGGGGGCGCCTGGGTGGCTCAGTCGGTTGAGTGTCCGACTTCAGCTCAGGTCATGATCTCACAGTCACGTGAGTTCGAGCCCCGCGTTGGGCTCTGTGCTGATGGCTCAGAGCCTAGAGCCTGCTTCGGATCCTGTGTCTCCCTCTCTCTCTGCCCCTCCCCTGCTCATGCTCTGTCTCTCTCTGTCTCAAAAATAAATAAAATTATTAAAAAAAAAAACCACAATGAGATGCCATGCCACGCCCACTAGAATGGCTACGATTTAAAAACAGGAAAGCACGACTGTCGGGGAAGATGCTGAGAAATTTGCAGTTGTTCCTGGGGGCACTGTGACAGGTACAAGTCTGGGAGCAGTTCCTCGGGAAGTGGAGCATAGCATTGTCGTTTGAGCCAGCACCCAGCAATTCCACTCCGAGGTCTATACCAAAAGAATTGTAGGCAGGTGTTTACACAAATACCTGTATGTAAGTATTCGTAGCAGTCAGTACTCTCCATCGCGTCTGGAAGGTGGAAACCCAGGTCGCGGTGAGATGAGTGGATAAACGGTGCAATATTACTCCACCCGAAAGAGAATGGGCCACTGATAGAGGCCACGACGTGGACGAAGTGTGGAACGTGCTAAGTGAAAGCGACCCTTCGGGAAAGGCCACGTGTTGTGTGATAACACGGGTGCAAAACTCCTGGGTGGGTGCGGTGTGCGGGGGTGGGGAGTGGGGAGCCACTGCTTAGTAGGGACGGTGTTTCTGTTTGGGCTGATAAACATGTTCTAGAACTAACAGTGATGGGTGTGACGCATAGTGAATGTAATGAGTGGCATTGACTTGGACAAGTTAAAATGTCTTCAATGTCAACTATTTAACATGAATTTTATGTTCGCGAACATACGTTTTATGAACATACGGGTGACCGTGGAGTAGATGGCAAAAGGGGGCGCAAGTTAGAAAAGAACAGGATGTGGCCGCAGACTAGGGATGGAGAGGCTCTGTTTCTGGAGCGGCTGCCAGCCGGGTCTCCTGCGCTGGCCCCAGAGGTGGTGCCAGATCTGCTTCTCTTTCTGGAGCTGGGGTTGGATGTGGCGCGTTAGTGACCCTGGCTGTGCGTTCTCTGCTCGCCCCACCTCTGCGGTAGGTGTCGGTCGGAGCCGGCTCGGGGTTTGGGGCTGGTGCGGGTGGGAGCCGGGGCTGGAGCCGGGGCTGGCCGTGGAGCTCACAGTGGCTGCGTCTCTGTAATTGGCGTGGTGGCAGATCATAGCTCCAGAGCTGGCGCTGGACCGGAGTCTTTCTCTGAACCTGGCGATGGCCAGTCCTGACCTGCAGTCTATTTGGAGCTGCTTCTAGCTCTGGAGGTACAGTGCCGGAACTGGCGCAGGACAGGGGATAAGCAGCGTCTGACTGGAGTCGGTGTTAGAGCTGGCTCTGCTCGTGGTGGTGGTGCGAGAGCAGGTGCCGGAGCAGGTGCCGGAGCAGGTGCTAGAGCCAGAGTTGGAACAGGTGCTGGAACAGGTGCCGGAGCAGGTACTGGGGCAGGTGCAGCAGGCGCGGCTGGCACAGGCTCGAACTTGGTAACAGATGCAGAGTCGGGGCTGTGAGTCTGCCTTCAGCCCGGGCTGGCTCAAGCTCCGTATCTGGCCTGGCTCTGACTCCTCACTCGGTTTCGGAGCTGGCCGGGGCTCCAGGTGAGGCGTCCCCCCTGACCCCCTCTGTGCAGCGGGGACGGTGGCTGTCTGCCTCCTCCCGGGGATGGGCATGAAGCACGGAGAGCCCAGAGTTTTGCTACTTTTCAGAATAGCCGCTCGGGAGTAGTCTGAGGGGGACCAGGGCTTGCTCGGCCCAGCCCACTCACCAGAATGCCCTTGCACGTGTCGCTGATGTCCCCACGCGGGCTGGTGGTTGTGGTCAAGCTGAAGAGGAAGAGGGGCTGATGGAGGCTGACCTGTGCCCCGATGACTTGGGGATGACAGGATTGTGGGTCCCGGAATGGTGGGGACACCGAGAGCAGCGGATGGCCAGACTCTGCCGGTGGGGGGGGGGGGGCGGCCAGGCCCGCCTCCTGCTCCAGGGGATTCCTGACGCTCTGTTCCGGAGCCGAGGGCACTTGGCTCTTCCTGTGGGTGCAGAGGGAAACACCGGTGCCGGGAAGGGGGGACCGGGAAGGATAAGAGCTGGTGGGGCAGCGGACGAGGCAGAAACGTCACTTGCTGGCCAGTGGTAATGCCAGGAAGATGCTCACCGTGGCCTCCTGTCCGGAACTGGAGGAGGTGACCCAGTGCATGCTGAACATGTGGGCCACCAGCTGCTGACTTAGAGGCCTGGGAGTGGGGACCACCCCTGATCCTGGGCTCTACACGAGCAGGCAAGCGCGTGGCTGGGCGGCGAGTCGTGGCTGTGACCTGCGCTCACCAAGGGTAGGGAGGTGTATGGAAGGCAGCGTGCGTGGTCACACTCCTTGGCAGGTGTCGGCTAGTCTTCTGGGTCCGAGAGCACAGAAGACACGGAGGGCTGTGAGTGGACAGGGGAGGCCAGGCCAGCCTGTTGAAGGGCAGGCATCGTGTCTGGTCACAGATGGGCTTTGGGGGAGTGTCTGGGCCCTGGGAGTGGCCTGGGCTGGCAGGTTTGTCTGGAGGGCTCAGTCCGTAAGTACGTAGCTGCTTGACTAGCCCCTGGGGGAATGCGGCCAGCACTAGGGGCCAGTGAGAAGGTACCCTCAGCAATTTTGAGTCCTGTCTGCTTCCTGTAGGGGGTGGGTTGAGCTGGCTGCATGCCTGACCTTTGCCCTCTTGGTGCAAGTCTGATTCTTTAGGACAGAGGCCCAGTCGGCAGGGAGGGTTCATGGTGTAGAGCAGGTTGGCATCGCCAGGGCCTTCGGTGTTGGTGGGAGATGGGCAGGGGAAGGGACAGAGGAAGGGTCAGCCGTGGCTGCAGGCCGGGAGAAGGAAATGCACAGAAACGGAAAGAACATTAGTGGTGGTCAGGGGGGCAAGCGGTGTGGGCACCAGGACCCTTGGTGGTGCCAGTGTTTCCCACCCTGCACCCACAGAAAAAGCCAAGTATCCCTGGCTCCTGAAAAGAGCTTCTGGAATCCCCCAGAGCTGGAAGCGGGCCTGGGGGGCCCGGCAGAGTCCGATGTCTGCGGTAACGTATACAGGGTTTCTGTTTAGCGTGATGAGAACATTCTAGAAATAGATAGTGGTGATGGTCGCACAGCATATTGGATTTACTTAATGCCACTGAATTGTACAATTTAAAAGGATTAAAAGTTAAATTTCCACTGTGTGTGCATTTTAAGCATAAAATGTAATAAACTTTAACGTACGGGAAAAAGAGAAAGAACACTTAGAAACAAACACTGCTTTCCCGAGACAGCTCTAGTGCCAGAGGTGGCCCCGGTTGTTGCTCGGGAGCGGATGCCGGGGAGACGCCGGGGTGGGCTCGGCGTGGGAGTCAGCGCCATGCTGGCAAGGCCTGGCTCTGGCTTGGGGACTGGCGCGGGACCCGGGACCGGGGCTGGTGCTGGAGCTGGCTCTCGTCGTGACACTCTGACCCTGGCCCCGGTAGCAGAATTGGTGCGAGCGCCGACCCCGGCTCTCGGTCTGGCTCCAGAGCCGCAGCTGCCTATAACCCCCGAGCTGGTCCGTGTGTGGGAGCCGGAGGGGTCTCTCTGATCCTGGAGCTCCACGGCTGGTGCCAGAGCAGCTTCTGACTCCAGAGCCGGGCACGATCCTGTGCTGGACGTGGCTGCGGCTTTGCAGCCCCCCTCACTGGCTGTGGGGTGGATACAGTCCCCCCTGTTCAGCTGTGAGCTCGAGGGCAGGGAGAGTGTCTAGGGTTCACATTTATATTCCAGATGCCTGCACGTTAAAGGGAGCGGCACATAGGTGCTGGATACATGAATGAATGCATGAACGAATGAACGAGTCGGTCAGCTAACCCAAGATGACTTTGCATCTCAGGTTTCCACACCTGGAAAGTAACAGCAGCCTGCGGGAATTGGGAGGATCACACGGATTCAACGCCCGTGTGAGGGCCTACTGTGTACCAGGCACTATTCTAGAGGCTTGGGAAGAAAGCACAGGAAAAGCACCGTCCCTGCTTGCACGGAGCTGGCGGGAGCGGGGCTCCAGCGAGGGCATGTGGGTCACAGACAAGCAGTCCCCGCCCTTCCGGGAGCAGCTGCCGGGATTGGCAGGTTGTACACACGTCCTTGTCCAGCAGCTCGAGACGAATCTGGGTGGGGCTGGAGGGCTGGTGGGCTTACTGGTCTGAACGCCCCTGTGAGCGTTCCCTTCAGAGGTCCTCGGCGTGGCCATCTTCAAAATGGGCTTGGGAGGAAATCCCATCCTTAGGTTCCTACACGAAGTTGGTCTTGATCCTGTGAGACCAAGAGCTTCCTATGACTCGTCTTCCCTCTGGTAACCTCAGAGTTCACCAAGGGAGCTGGGTGATGTCTTCCAAGAGACCGGCTAGGGTCCCCTTCTGGCCAGTGTGCAAACGGGGCTCGGATCCCTGGGCTTTAACCACCAGTGGCCACCCTGACCCTGGCATTGAAGCCATGTATCCAGGTGCTCAAAAATCCAGCTCAGAGTGGGAGGGACGGAAGAACGAGGGGTTGGCCCTGTGGGCAGTTAGGACCAGGGAGAGATCTCGGCAAACCAGTAGATAAGAAGCTTCACGCCTCACAGTTTCTTCCTCGCCTGCCCTGCCTGCGTTGTGTTGCATCTGGTGGGTGGTCATCATTTATCTCACGGACCTCTGATGAAGGAAAGTGGCTTGTTTCCAATCTTTTGCTGGTATGCAGAAGGCCACAGTGCAGGACCATGTGCAGATGTCAAAGTGTGGAGGTGTTTCCGTGGGATAAAGTCCCTGAACTGGGATTGTCGAACCAAAGTGGACTTACATTCGTAATTTTGATACGTGTGGCCAGACTGCCTCCATCCAAAGGCACCGTGCATTCAACGATGAATAAAAGTCCCTGTTTGTACACAGCTTCTTTTGGATTTAGTAATTTTGTCATGACCGAGACTGAGTATATATCATGTGTTTGAGGCTCTTTATATTTCTTTTTTGTGAAGTGTGTTTTAATGTATTTTGCCCGTTTTTATATCCTGTGGCTGTTCTTTTTCTTATCAGTTTCTAGGACCTCTATTTATAGGGGGTGTAGGCTCTTTGCCTGGGATATGAGTTAGAAAAATTCGTTCCCAGTTTATCGTTTCTTCCTTTGTAGGTTGTGGTGTCTTTTCCCCGGGACAATGGCAAAGTTCAGTGCTCCCGGTTTGATTTGTGGATTCGATACAAATACAGTCCCCATAAAATACCTCAGCAGGTATTTCTTTTCGGAAACCCGTAGCTAACTTCATAATTTATGCAGAAATACAAAGGGCCCAGAACCAGAACAACCTGGAAGAACATAGTTGGAGGACACACAACACCAGATATTCAGACTTTTTGTTCAGCTACAGTGAGTGAGGCAGTGGGGTAGTGATGCAAACTAGAGTACGACAAAGTGTCAGTTCAGCCCAGAGGCCCCCATACGGATGCTGCGCAGGTCTGAGCACAGCAAACGAAGCCAAACGTAGGAGAGCTCGTCCGCAAAAATGTGCAGTGTATGTGGATAGGGCGTGGGAGGAAGCTCCGTGCTTGTCCCAGCCGAGGCAGGAATAGCACGTGACAAGGTTCAACCTCTTCCATCATAAAGATCAACGTAATAAAGGCCTCTGATGAAAAGCTCGTGTCTAATGTCATCCTCCGCGGTCAGGTCAGGAACAAGGCAAGGTCGCCCACTCTTGCTATTTCTGTTCAATCTAGTACCTTAAGTCCTAGGCAAAGCAGTGAGGCAATGAAAGAAAGTAGGAGGCGTCTAAACTAGAAAGGAAGAAGTAAAATGATCTGTGTTCATAGATGACATCATTTAAGTAGAAAAATCCACCAGAAAACTGTCAAAACTAAAACAGGATTTAGCCAAGTTGCAGGATACACAATTAACACTCAAAAATCAGGCATATTTCCATATAAACAATGATCTGAAAAGGAAATTGAAACATAACTCCATTTATAATAGCATCAAAAAGAATAAAGTACTTAGAAATGAACCGAACCACGGAGGTGAAAATCTTTTACAAAATATTACTGAAGTTTTTTTTTTTTTTTTTTTTTTTTTTTTTACTTTAGAGAGAGTGTGAGCAGGGGAGAGGGGCAGGGAGAATCTTGCCGGTAACTTGTGAATGAGCTCAGAAGGGGACCCTGCCCCAACCCAGCCTCAGCTGAAACCACAGCCCAGGCTCCTGGGAGACCTTGAGGCACAGGCTTCAGCTGGGCTAAGCGGGGGCCCTAATCACAGACTCTGGGATAGTGTTTGCTTTTGGGAGCACTAGTCAGGGTAACGCGTCTCACACATAGACAAGCAGTATATCCTGCCAGGCCCATGTCTGGCCCTGCTCGCCTCCCTCCCACCCTCCCCCCTCCCCAGCTCTCTCCAGCAGCAGTGGCTTCTTCTCAGCCCCTCTGGCCAAATGCGCTTCTGCCTCTGGGTCTCAGCACTTGTGAGCTTCCCTTCCCCCAGCACACTGTTCCCAGACTTGTACAGGGCCAGCTTCTCTTGTCTTTCTGGTCATAGCGTGAATGCCACCTGGAGGCCTTTTAGACCCTGCTTAGGGGCTCCTGGCTGGCCCTCAAGCACCCTGCTTCACTTCCGCAGAGCACTTGATCTCTTGCATGCTTTTGTCCATCCCCCACCTTGGGCCGTGAGCTCCTGGAGGGCAGGGACCATGTGGGTCCTTACAGCACTCACTCTGCGTGAGGCAGGAGCCGAAGGAGCCAGTGAGAGGGCCTGGGAGCTCCCTCCCGCTTCAGAGAAGCTCATAATAAAAGGTCCACGTTGGGTCAGAGGCAAGGGGGTGTCCCTTCCCTGGGCCAGTTGCTTGGTAGAGCAGTGATCACCACCTGGTGGTGGGAACCAGAACTGCAGCCCCAGGCGGGAAACTAGAGATTAACACACCTTTGGGGTCCCCAAGGCAGTGGGGTTCCCAGGCCCCAGGCGACAAAGGGGTTAGGAACTAGGGGCTGCAGAGGGGAATGCGTGGGACCTATGCTCCATTTCCCCCAGTCCCGACCACTGTACCGGGTGCCCAGTTCACCCAGGAACCTACTCAGCCCCTCCAGGGCAGGGACTCCGCCCACTTCCACCTGAGGCTCCGGCAGGGAGGGAGGGTCCTTGGTCCTCGGAGGCAGGCGCAGTCCAGTGCCCCGCCACATTCTGCATTACCCAGGTCTTCAGTCCCTAGGGGCCACGGGGAGTAGACATTTACTGGACTCAGCCTAGTGTGTCGTCGATGGAGAACCGAGGCCGGCAACTCCTAGAAGCCTGTGGGACCCTTGGGATTCCTGCCGCAAGCACATCAGGCTGCAGAGGAGGAAGGTCTTCCCTCTCTATTATGGAGCCCCCTCCCCGTGAGGGTGGGTGTTAGGGGTTTCCCTGGTGCCAGGCGCCCAGAGCGGTGGACACAGAGCTCCAGACCTGTGCCGTCCGTCCTGGGGATGGCCTGGCCCTGCCGACCCTGGGACCCTCGAAACACCAGCCCACCAGTCCGGCATCTCGCCCCTCCTGACGCTGTGCTCCCAGGACCTGTGGCTGTAAGATCGGAGCCGAGCTGGGACGGCGCGAACAGAGCCGAAAAGTCCGGCGCTGGCGCACAGACACCGCCGCTTCTCCCGCTTCCAGACTTGTGGGTGTGTCCCCTGGCCCGAGGGGCGTCTCCAGCTAACGGCACCCTGGGGCCGCCAGCCAATCAGAGCTGCCTCCCGCCGGCACCGCCCCCCGCTTGGCGCTGCGGCCAATCGGAGCGCCCGCCCGCACGCCCGCCCACCCGCCGTCCCCTGTCGCAGAGCTAGAGGCGGAGTGGCGCCCCCGGAGTCGTGCGGCGGCGGCGGCGGCAGTGCTGGCAACCATGGAGAAGATCCCGGCTCTGGGCCTGGGCACCTGGAAGGTGAGGTGGCCTCACGACCTGGGGGAGGGAGGGCCTTTCCCGTCCGCGGCGCTCCGGGACGCGGAGGGGACCCCCCCAGGGCTGCCTGCCTCGGCGCCACCGCCCCTGTTTGAAGGGGGAGGTTCTCCGGCAATGCTGGCGGTGCCTGGGGCGTTTGGAAGTAAAAGTTCGCGGGAGCCCCGAGGGGACGGTGGTGAGGCTGGGTCAGGGCCGGAGGGCTGGGGTCGGGACTGGTGGTCCTGGCTGGGAGCAGCAGGTGGTCGGGGCAGTGTCTGGGCCGGAGGGCTGGGGTCTGGCTGGGGTCGGGGCTGGTGGTCGTGGCTGGGAGCAGCCGGTGGTCGGGGCAGGGTCAGGGCCGGAGGGCTGGGGTCTGGCTGGAGTCGTGGCTGGTGGTCGGGCTGGTGGCGCCTCCCCAGAGGCTGGCGGGACTTGCCACCCGCAGGACAGACAAGGAGGTGCCCCCACCGCCAGTGGGGTTTCAGAGGGAAAGCGTGCAGCGCCCAGTGAGAACCAGGCGGGGCACTCGGGGACTTGCACTTTGGCCGCTGTGACTTCTATCCGTGATTTCAGTCAGGCGCTAACCAGGCCTTCCTTGTTTCTTTTGTTTCTGTACACTTTGTCTTCAATAAAGATGTTCATTTGAGAAGTCACTTAAGAAGCTACCAGATGAGTAGGCATTGGAATCATCAACCCCTTCTCATCAAAACCGTATTTAAATCGTTTGTTGTACTTACCAACTCTTAAAGACCAAGGAAGCAACTCTACTCACTGTGGTTCTCAGCATGTGGCCCTGGATGTGCTTTTGGGAGCTGCTCAGGGGGCTCAGGGGGTTACATGCTCGCACTTTCTTGCCCGCCTCCAGTCCTGCTCTTATGCACTGTCTTCTGCTGGGGGTGGGAGTCCAGGCGTACCGCCTTGCACACGGCGAAGGGAAACCTGTAGAAGCCGAAACGTTTCAGAGGCCCAAAGGTTCCTTTTTGTGGCTGTTGGGCTTCAGGTGCACGGACCAGTCTTAGTGACCCCTTCTGGATCCACACAAAGTCTTGCTTGGATTTAGTTATTTCCAGCAGTGTACCGTCACAGATCAAGCATCAGCTGTCGGTTGCTCCGGAAGCGATGCACCCACAACCAATCACAGAAGCTCCATCGTTTACGGCAGCATGTGCATCATCACTGCTGCCTGTTGGGTGGTCAGCTGGGCTCTATGCATCCGGGCCGCTCGCTCAGTGTCTGGGGTTTGGCCGCTCTCACTTGGGACTGCTGGGCTGCTCGTGGCTCAACGCAAGTCTCGACCTCAAGCAGGAGAATCTGGGGTATTCTCGTGGTGATGGCCCAGGCACCAGAGAGCAAGGGGCATCCTGGAGCCTAGGCTTGGAGCTCACATCTCTGCCACAGAAAACACAGGGCAGCCCAGGTCCCAGAGGTGGGGACAGAGCCCATCCTGGGCCTGCGGAATCACATTAAATCTGTAGATCAGTCTGGGAGAACTAGCAACTGGATGATACTAAATCTGGCTTTCTACAAGCCCAGTGTATTTCTGTGTTAACGAATTGTCCTGGATTGAAGGCGTCTCTCTCTCTTCATCTGGTTGTATATACAGCTTGCCCTGTACAAAGCATACACTTCATTTGATGGAATCATTCCTGATCCTGGACCGTCCGCGATACTATTGGAAATGAAACTTCTCTGAAATTATGTCTTCAGCTTGTTTGCTGTTGATGCATTGAAAAACAATCATCTCCGAGTGCCTGGCTGGCCCAGTCGCTGGAGCATGCGACTTTTGATCTTGGGGTCGGGAGTTCAAGCCCTCTGTTGGGTGTGGAGCCTTCTTTAAAAAAAAGAAAAAAGCCTTCTTTGGTGTATTCATCACATTTTCAGCCACTTTGCCAAATTGTCTTGTGAGTTCTTTTAATTTGCCTATGAATTCGTTTGGGCTTTCTACATAAATGATCGTATCATCTGCAAATAATGATACTTTCATTTCTTTTCTTCTGATCCTTAAGTCCCAAATTGTTTTTTCTGAGTTGCTTCTGGATGGCTAGGACCTCCACTACAGTGACCATTCTTGTTCTGTTCCTGACTTTAAGGGACTGTTTCCGATACTTGGACATTTAGGATGATGTTTGCCCATTTGTTCTTTGACTTGCTTTTGTTCTTTTTTTTTTTTTTTTTTTAATTATATTTATTGTTGTTTTAAATGTGGACATTCTTTACCAGGTTAAAGAGCTTCATTTTTTCCAAGTTGACTGAGAGTTTAAATCACAAATGGGTGTTGAATTTTATCCAACATTGACTGACATGATTTATTTTTTAGTTTTTTATTATTTTTTTTTAATTTTAGAGAGAGAGCACACATGCAGGGGAGGAAGACAGAGGGAGAGAGAGAGAGAGGATCCCAAGCAGGCTCCACGTTCCGTGCAGAACCCAACACAGAGCTCGATCCCATGACCTTGGGATCATGACCTTAGATGAGCTCCAGAGTTGAATGCTCTACCAACCGGAGCCACCAAGCACCCCAATGTGATTTCTTTTTTAATCTGTTAATGTGGTGAATTATTATGGATTTTCTAATATCAAGCCACCCTTGGCTCTCTAAGATAAGCTCTGTGGGTGTGGTATGTTAGTTTTTCATATACATTGTCGCATCCATTCTGATGTCATTTTACTTAGGATTTTTGCAACTCTTCTTCATGGGTGAGATGAACGCAGGCCTTTCCTTTGAATATTTTTGTCTGCTTTTGACTCCAGGGTTATGCCGGTTTGGTAGAAGGGGTTGGGAGTATTCTCTCTTTTTCTCTTCTCTGAAAGATTTTGTGTTAAATTGGGACGATTACATCCTTGAAATTTTTGCAGAACTCTGTGTGTGTGTTTAATTGCTTCATTTTAGAAATAATTATAGGAGAAGTCAGCTTTTACTTCTTCTTGAGCAAGGTTTTCTAGGGATTTCCCTCATTCTTTTCATTTTTCCCATTTGTCGGCTGAGAGTTACTGGTAGCATTTCCTGAGATTTGGGGTCTCTGTTGTATCTGTGTGACCGGTTTTCGGGTTTCCAGTCTTGTGAGAAGATTGTCCACCTTATTAAGGTCTTTCAAAGAACTAACCTCCGGCTCTGCTCATCTTCTGTGTCCTATCTGTACTTGATGTGCGTCCTTGTCTCCGGATTCCCTTTCCTTCCGATTCCTGGGTGGATCGTTGTCTAACTTCAGGTGGACGCTCCCTTAGCTTCTGGCCCCCCAGAACGCCTGGGGTTAGTGAGGCTCACGCGAGGGGGTGCCGCGTGGGCTGCAGAGCCCTTGGGGATGCTCGCGCCTTGTGTCCCGAGTCCTCCCCAGGCCTCTGCCCCTGCGTCCCGTCCCTTTGCTCGCTTGAGCCACCCAGCTCACCACGAGCGTTTTCTGAACCTCACCTTCTTGAGGGAATCCGTAGTGCCCCTCGGGGCTTGGGGAGGTGCCCCACGTGTGCCGGGTTGTCTTCGTGTGAGCGGACACCCGCTTACCTTCACACTTGGCCCCCTGGTCTCCTCGGGTAGAGGGTGAGTCTACACCTTCTTGCGTCTCAGTGTCTATCCCGATTCGCCCCGCGTTTGTTTATCCCTTTGCTCATTCGGGAAGCGCGGCATCTCGCTCGGTTCTTTGCAGGCCCTAAAATACCTGTAGGGTTTCCCCCAGGTAAGGAAAGGTGTTGGAACTTAGGTTGCATCTAAATCCTTCCTGCCCCTGACCTTCCCCAATTTTAGCGCTTCCTCGCTCATGTGTCGTTTGACTCTACATATTCCAGCGCTGAGATTGGGATGGCCTGATGTGGGCGGACTGCCTATGTCACGTTCGTTTTGCAGGCAGCTCCGGGCGAGGTGACGGAGGCAGTGAAAGTGGCGATAGACGCGGGGTTCCGGCACTTTGACTGCGCTTACTTGTACCACAACGAGAGTGAGGTCGGAGCCGGGATCCAGTGCAAGATCAAGGAGGGCGTTGTGACCCGGCAGGACCTGTTTGTCGTCAGTAAGGTAGGACTCGGCGTGCAGGGCGAGCAGGGTGCAGCCCACGCGGGCTGGGTCAGCAGGGTAGCCGAGCATGGGGAGGGTCTTCTGGTCCCACAGGAGCTGATGACCAGTGCGTTCAGGACACTCGTGAGGCTTCGTGCACGCACTGGATGCGGTGCAGGTGCAGGTGTCGGGGACAGCATGACAAGCAGAGGGGACGGCATGGGCAGGGGCCCGAGGCACGGGACAGCACCGGGGGGACGGGGGCCTGGAGGGAGCTCAGTGTTCCTGGATCGGAAAACGTCAGTCAGGAGAAGTGCGGCTGCAGCAGGGACAGGCCAGGTGACGAAGTCACGCCTTTCAAGGGGCTTACTCTTCGCACACACCGCACAACGGCGCGGGTTCTCAGCAGGGAGCTCGGGTTCCGGACAAGCCAGACTTGTGTCAGAGCTGGGTGACTGCAGCAGCCGGAGGGAGCAGGCGTTGGAGCAGGAGGCAGAGGACACTCACAGCCCGGACTTGGACCGCGGGAGCCGGCTCAGGAGGGAGACAGGTGCTCAGGGCCCGGTAGGGGCAGGTCCAGACCGCGGGAGAGTTCCGGAACTCCCCTGCCTTGGGCTTTGAAGCAGATTGTTAGGACTCTGAGGCCAGGAGCCACGGGTTGTCATTCCCGCTGTCTCTCATGGCCCGGCCATCCGTCACGGCCCCACCTCCTGTCACAAACCCCGAGGGACCAGGAGAGTCCCTGGATGACACAGCTCCACCGTGTATAAAATGGGGGTCCGGATTCGATCATCTCCTGAGGAGTTTCCGGGACTAATTTCCACAATTGCAGGACTCAGTGTGGTTTCTGTAGATTCGCCCTTCTGTTCCACTTCCGGATGATTTCTGTAAGTCATCAGTGCCTGTGGAGCGAGGGCAGAGGGCTGGTGAGGTCGAGGCGAGGTGAGGTGGGTGACGGGATGGCTCGGTCAGCCCCGTCACCCAGGGCCCGCTGCTCCTGGTGCCCTCTGAGTCCACAGGGGAAATGTGTTCACTCTTCCCGCAATTCGGAAAAGTCACAGAAATACAATTTTTTATACTCGCTGTTTTGAGAGTACCATTGTTAGTGATAATTTTTAGGGTTTTTTTTTCTTCTCTTTTGTCTTCAATACACTATGGTGAGAGTCTGTTTTTATATCTTTTAATTCTCTTTCTCGTACTTATTTGTTTTTGGTTTTTCTCTTGCTGTGACGGAGTCTTTGGATTAGCTTCTGTCACAGTTAGAACTAAATAGTGTAACAGGGGACGTAACGGGAGGGAGAAAATGGCAAATTTTCTACTTCACAGGGGGTGTGGCTGGAAATCTCTAAATCAATACAAGGCAGTGGGTGTTAACTTCCCTAATTTAACCTGCATGATTAGGCGGCCCTGAGAACAGAGGCCCTTGAACGTGGAGGAGACGTAGGTGGGAAGCAACGTACAAGTTCTCCAGAGTTCTCCTCCTCTCTGCTTACAGCCGTTTGCTTTGGTCTGGTTCTGGTTGTTTCTTCTGGTCCTAGTGGATCCAAATAACCAGACTGCCCCCTCCCAAATGTTTCACAGTGGCCCTGTCTCCCTGTAGTGGGAGTCAGGCAGAAGGAGCCCGCTTTTGGAGACCCCTTCCCGAGAGAGTTCCGGAACCATCTGAGGGTGATGTCGCTGCCCCCGCCGTATTCGTTGCCGTCTGGTCCCGGATGCCGTCCGTCTTCCTGCTCCCGGACTCGGGGGACTGAGGGGCAGAAGTTGACGCTGGCTTCCTCCTCCCCCCTGCGCCCCCCATAGCTCTGGTGCACCAGACATGAGAAGTCCTTGGTGAAGGCGGCCTGCGCCAAGAGTCTCAAGGCCTTAAAGCTGGATTACCTGGACCTCTACCTCATGCACTGGCCCATGGGCTTCAAGGTACCTACCGTCCGGGAGGCGCAGAGCCCAGGGGCAGCACCTTCCCTCTGGTCAGGCCCGGCGGGGGGGTGCGGGGAGCTCTCCCCAGGCCTCCTCAAGGACCCCGCGGTCTTCGTCCGCCCCCGCCTCTGCCCCTCCCAGCCCGGGGAGGAAGACCTGCCCCTGGACCGCAACGGCATGGTGCTGCCCAGCGACACGGACTTCCTGGACACGTGGGAGGTGAGGCGCATCCCGCCGGCCTTGGGCGAGGTGACGGCGGGTCATGTGCATGCGTCGCGGGGAGGGGGTTGCGGTTGTCCCCCGACACACTCGTGTGCGCTGTGGGCGGGAAACCAGCACCTGATCCCGGCCGCCCATCTGCCGCCCTAGTTCCGGCTGGTTCCTCTGCCAGGACGTCAGTTCCAGGGATGACTAAGTCACCCCCCCCCCCCCCCCCGTTTTAGTCTCAGTGTCAACTTTTTGTTTTTGTTTTTTTTAATGTTTATTTATTTTTGAGAGAGAGAGAGAGAGAGAGAGAGAGAGAAAACACAAGCGGGGGAGGAACAGAGAGAGAGGGAGACACAGAACTCGAAGCAGGCTCCAGGCTGTGAGCTGTCAGCACAGGGCCCGATGCGGGGCTCGAACCCAGGAACTGTGAGATCGTGACCTGAGCCAAAGTCGGACGCTTGACCGACTGAGCCACCCAGGCACCCCGGTGTCCACTTGTTTGTTGATGAGAGAGTATCACTTGGTCGTTACAGAAATATGGAAGAGTATGAGAAAGAACATTTAAGAATCCCCCCGTCCATTACCTGGCCGTAGCTACCACTGCTGTTGTGTGGCTGCGGACCGCTGGGCCTAGAGCATCTCGGAACGAGGTCCGGCAGCCCAGCCAGGCCTGTGTGGGGCTGGAGGCCGAGTGGCAGGTTTCCAGGCAAAGAGGGGGAAGAGACCTGGAATAAATAGCGAGCAGCGGCATCGCGGGTGAGGGGTGCAGGTGTGGAAGGGGACAGTGTTCCCGTGGAGCCCCGCTGACCTGGCGCGTGTAATCTCGCAAACGGTGTGGGACGGAGGAGGACCGGTGTGAGGCCTGGGAAGCAGTGAGCTCCCTCTGGAGCCTGCTGAGTCCAGGGAGATGGGCGAGAGAAGGCCTTCGAGCACCAGGCAGAGTCGGCAGGCGCACCAGTCAGGCCACCCTCTCCCTCCCCCCATTTCTCTTAAACTGGGCAATCGGCAAAACAGATTAGATGAGTGATCTGGGCTGTCAGGACCAGCGTCCAGGGGCCCCAGCGCTTTCTGTCCCACGGCATCGCCCCTCAGGAGAGCTGTGGCTTGGGGTCCGGGCCGCGTGCAGCCCGGGTGAGGCTCCGCGCGATGCCGGTGCCTCCAGGCAGTGGCTGGTGCACGCTGACTGGTCCCCGGCCCGTGGCCGCTCAGGACCCAGGACCTACTGTTGACGAGGTGCCCCATGCCAGCCCGACACCTCCTGAAGTTCACGGCCAGCAGGAGGATGATGGCACGTCACTGCGCTTAGGAAGCGTATACGCTAGGTAGAAAGAGCGGCGAGCGACGGGCATCCCTGCCGAACCCTGTGTCACACGTGTTCAGAGGAAGGGGAGAAATAACAGCTGAAGTGTTGAGTGTTGGCCACATTCTAGCCCTGCGCTAAATGCTTTGTGTGTGTTACTTGATGGGATCCTTAAAACAACCCTGTGACATGAACAAGCTCGGCCCCAATTTGCAGATGAGGACACTGAGGCTCAGTGTGGTCACACAATGTGCCCAGGGCCCCCGGCCACTAGAGGCCCTGGGGGCAGAAATGCCTGTGGGGCATCGGGTGGGATATTTAGAAGCCCGGGTGGAGCCGGTTTAGCGACGTGTGCAGAGGAGGGAGGGGCGTGGGCGATGGTGGGGGGAGGGGGAAGCAGAATGACTGTTTGTTGTCTTTAGGCCATGGAGGACCTGGTGGTCACGGGGCTGGTGAGAGCCATCGGGGTGTCAAACTTCAACCACCAGCAGCTCGAGAGGCTTTTGAATAAACCCAACCTGAGATTCAAGCCACTGACGAACCAGGTGAGGCTTTAACAGATGGAGTTGGCTTTTCAGCCGTCACGCTCCCCCTGGCTACGCTGGAAACGAAACAGGGGGCACAGAGAGGCATTTTTCTCCCGTGGCTGCAAAAATGGTGACTTAGGGAGCGGTGAGGCAAGTAACGGGTGCCGAGGCCGGAGAGCTTCTGGAAAGGCTTGTTCGATTAGGTGGGGTCCTCGGGAGGTCGGCCACGGGCTGAGCTTGGTCCTCTCCGTGCAGAAGTGGTGACGCTCCTGTTTCGCCCTCCTCCCTCCATGACATCGCTGCTCGCCGCTTCCTGGGAAGGCACCTGGGCCCCTCCCTGTCCCTCCACCTGGGGGGCGGGCAGCCGAAAGACCCCAGGTTCACGGACTCTGCCAGGACTTTTGTGCAGAGAGCTGGCTCGTGAGGAGAGGGCTTCGCTTGCAGAAAGGGCCTTTTTGCAGTACGTTCTTTTACCTAAACATTTGCTCAGGTGTCATGTACATTTAAAAAGCGCACCCATGACAGTAGAGCTCAGTAAATTGTCATAAACCGAGCCTCACTCTGTGCCTACATCCAGATCGAGAAACAGCGCGTGACCAGCACCCGGAAGCCCCACCACGCTTCCTCCTGTTGACTGCCCCCCGACAAAGGGCAGCCCGTGTGCTGATTACTAACAGCAGACACTGGCTCTTGAACTTTATGTAGATAAAGTGACCCATTACGTACTCTTTCCCGTCTGGCTTCTTCCAACATCGCGTCTGTTGGATTCCTCCATATTCCTGTACGATCGTCCGTCGTTCTGATTTCTGTGTGGGATTCCGCTGGGCACACACACCACAGTATCATTACCCACTCTAGCATCGACGGCCACTTGCATAGTTTCCGCTTGGGGATATTGAGAATAGAGCATCACGTTCCATTTTTTATAAACACGGTGTAGCGTGGATGCAGGAGAGGTCGGGCATCGCTCAGCGAGTTTCCACAGGGGAGCGTGCTGGTCGGCGCCTAGAGCCCAAAGCCCAACAGCCTCTGCCTTCTGGAAGCTCTCCTAGCCGCCTTCCTCAGAGCGGCACCTGTCCCGACGCGAGGCATGCCTTAGCTTCCCTGCTTTATTTATTTATTTATTTATTTATTTATTTATTTATTTAACATTTTATTTATTTTTGACACAGGGAGAGACAGAGCATGAACAGGGGAGGGTCAGAGAGAGGGAGACACAGAATCTGAAACAGGCTCCAGGCTCTGAGCTGTCAGCACAGAGCCCGACGCGGGGCTCGAACCCACAGACCGCGAGATCATGACCTGAGCTGAAGTCAGCTGCCCAACCAACTGAGCCACCCAGGCGCCCCTTAGCTTCCCTGCTTTAAACCCTGGCGTGCCTAGAATGTTCATGTGCATGATATACGCCGCCGTTCTGTCGGGGTTCCTGTTGAGCAGCACTTTAAGGGGGGGGGGGGCCGGCAAGCTGGTGCCTCCTCTGTGGGGTGGGAGGGGCCTGAGGGGCTGTTTCCTAATTGGGGTTCTGAGCCCCCCGCAACGTCCCCTCAGAAGAGTTTTCCTTGCTATTTCTGGTGGCTGTGCCCAGCACGTTCCTGACCCTCAAGGGCACTGTTTGCAGCTCTTAATTCACTCTAAAGGAGGATTTTCAGCCCACTGATGACCTGGAATTGTACGTGAGAATTTACAGAATGTGCAGGCAGAAATCCCGCTCTCAAGTTTCTCAAAATGTCCACTGGAGTCCCCTGGAGCACGTGGTCCCACACGACTCCCCAGCGTCCTCCACGCACCTGCGGCGCCTTGACAGAGGGTTCTCTGGCCGGCTTATTCTGGATGTTGGGGGCGTGTCTGGGAACAAAACAGAGTCAGCCCAGACCCCTGCCTCTGGGGAGCTCGCATCAAGCGGCGGGAGACAGACAACAGCCAATAAGTACGATGTGGAAGATGTCAGATGGTGACACGGGCGAGAGCGGAAAGTGAAGGGTCAGAGGGAGGGCCTCCCGGAGCAGGTGCCATCCGAGTGTCCAGCGACAGGGTGTTCCTCCCGCCCGTTCTCAGTGGCTTTCACTTTAGGTGTGGACGCTCGAGCCCCGAGGCGGTCCCGGAGCTCATCGGGGACAGCCGAGACATTAAGAGTGTGCCCTTCCCCCGTGTACGGTGACCTGAATTTTCTCGGTAAGCGGTGCTTCTCCTTTTAGGTCGAGTGCCACCCGTATCTTACCCAGAAGAATCTGATCAACTTTTGCCAATCCAGAGATGTGACCGTGACAGCCTACCGGCCCCTCGGCGGTTCCAGGTGGGGGTGTGTCCGTGGTGGGGGTGGGGGGGAGAGATGCCCCCTCCTGGTGGATTTGGATAGTTAGTGGAGGGCCTAACAAAGGCAGGTGTGGGCGGGGCATGTGGGCTGGGGGAGGGGCCGGCGCCCGCGGCCAGAGGAGGGCAGCAGCCTGGTCTGAGCTCTTGACCAGCACGGCGGGCCCCGCTGCTACACCTTCCGGTCGAGATGGGTCACAGATCTCTCCGTCTGCACGCGTCCTCTTTCCCCGGCACCGGAACCGTGTGCTGTGCGCCCTGCGTCCGTTCACGAGCCCCCACCCGCTCGGCACCCCCAGACCAGACACCCGGCAATCCTGCCTTTCCAGCCCATCCCCCAGAATCCACTCTGATTCTGCCAGAGAACCCGGGATCTGTCTGTTGATCTCTGTTCTCGCCATCACGGCCCGAGTTAAGTGGGAGTTCTCTCCGGTAATTAGAGCAGCTTGTCCGCTCCGATTTGCCCGGCTCCAATCCGTTGTCCGCGCCGGAGCCGAGGGAGCCGTCTCAGTCTGATCAGGTCACTCTCCTGCTTGAAAATCCTTCGGTTCTTGGCAGGGCCTAGGAGCCCCAGCCGGTCTGGCCTCGGCCGAATTCTGGCCTCGTGTCTTCCCGCAAACAGTGTGGACCCACCACCTGAACCCACGCGGGGCTCCCGGAGTAGAGCGCCGTGTTTCTAGCCTGTGCCTTTGCATAGGTTGGTCTCTTTACCTAGAGATCTTGTTTATATATATATATATTTTTTAATGGTTTATTTTATATTTGAGAGAGAGAGACAGAGAGCAGGGGAGGAGCAAAGAGAGATGGAGACAGAACTGGAAGCAGGCTCCAGGCTCTGAGCTCTCCGCACAGAGTCCGATGCGGGGCTCAAACTCACGAGCAGTGAGATCATGAGCTGAGCGGAGGTCGGACGCTTAACCGACTGAGCCACCAGGCCCTCTAGAGATCTTGTTACCATCTTGTGTTTTTAAAGTCTGGCTAACTCTGATTTCTAATGTCCAGTTCGAGTCAGCATCACCTCCTCCAGGAAGCCCTCCTGACTCCCCTTATCGAGGTTTTGTCCATAACCCTCGTTACACTGTCTTGCCATTATTTTCTTTTCAGTCTCCCATTTGTCAGAGCTGCGTGAGTACAGGGGCCGCGTGTAACTTGTGGCTCTCCAACAGCCCCTGGCTCAGGACCTGGACAGACTAGGGGCCCAGGAAGGGCTGAAAGCATTTGACTCTTATGACCTGTGTGTCTCCTGTGGGAAGTGGGGCACATGTGTTTGAACTTCGTAGCGGCTGGGGAGCTGCTGGAAGGCGGGGTCCTGTTCTGTGGCTGAACTCGGGGCACTGGAGCCACAGTGGGTGGCAGGGGCCAAAGCAATGGCTCTCCAGGGTGACCAGGGCCTGTCTCTGCTGGACAGCCCCTGAGGGATAGCGCCATGGCCACAGCCTTCCAGTTCTGTGCACCGAAGCTTCCCCTCGTGTTTTGGTATTTGAGTTGAACTGTTCTGAAATTACCATCTTGAATATCGACAATTATTTACCGGCAGCGCTAGAGGCCCCGCCCCAGGCCCCGCAGTAAGAGCTCAGAAGTCAGCCCTACCCGCCCAAGGCCTCTCCAAAGCGCGGAGAACGCGTTGCCTCCTACGCTCTCACGTTGCCCCCTGGCTCTCGAGAAAACACCAAATGTCCGTGGAAAAGCAGCGTGCCCAGCTGTCCCCACCGAAATGTCTTCTCTAGATGGTGGGATGCGGGTGATGAGCTCCTGTGCATCATTTGAATTTCCTACCCGGAGCAAGTATTGTGATCAGACAAAAATAAACCTAGGTCTTGGTTTTGGAAGAGGTATTGTGGGTCTGAAAGCAGGAGGCACCCAGGCTTGTCCCCCCTGACCCCCTGCCCTGTCCTGCTCTCTCTAGTGAGGGGGTGGCCCTCCTGGATGACCCCGTGATTCAGAGGATCGCACAGAAGTACAACAGGTCTCCCGCCCAGGTAGGAGGGGCTGCCCGCAGGCTGGGGGCAGGGGGGTCTCCCCGCTTCCTCTCGGAGCCGGGGACTGGACGGAGGAAGGGTTTGCTCACTCTGGCCCCAAGCTTCCAGTTCACCAGCACAGGGGGCGCCTGCTCCCACCCACTAAGGCTGCGAGGCCCGTGGGCGAGACTCCAAATGTGGGGTCCCCGGCTGAGTGGAACAGAAAAGACTTCCTTGCTCTCATGTCCAGTGTTTGGGGGCTGGGCGTCTCCGTGAACTGTCATTAAGGCATTGGCAGGTCCTCTGAGCTTTTCCATGGACCAGTCGTGGCCATTACACACATTGGAGGAACTGGGCAGAAAATGCCAGTTGGGGTTCCGAGGGACTTTGGGACAGAAAAACCTGTAATAAAAGTTCCGGCTGTCCTGACTTTGGGACTTTGCACAGTAAAGTGTGGATCTGTGATTCCCCTTGTCTGACACGAGACCTTTTTTCTGCAGATTGTGATCCGATTTCAGATCCAGAGGAATGTGATCGTGATCCCCAAATCTGTCACCCCAACACGGATCCGTGAGAATATCCAGGAAAGGGTTCTTTTCTTCTTTTATTCGGAGGGTTTGGGATCACACGGTAGTCAGCTGGGGGTCTGACCACCGCGCAAGCAGGCCCTGTGTGGCTTTGACGCAGCAGAGGGGCCGGGTGGAGCTGCGGCCACAGCACGAGGAACCCCAGAGTGTGACAGGCACGACCCCAGCCCGGGAGCCGGCGAACAGGAGGTCCCGAACAGCCGGGGTGCCGGCCAGAGGCTCGCAGGGCTGTGCCCCCGAGCCGGGTGCCTGCTCCCCAAGTCTCAGGACCGCTGCGCCCGGCTGCCCAGACCCGGATTCGTGGGGCCCTTCCAGAACCGAAGGCCGCCCTCCAGTCAGAGCCTCTGCTGACACCGAGCCCTTGGTTTCTTTCTGCTAGACCGGGTGGAGGGTCTCCTGTGGGTAGAGGCCGGGCCCGGCCGGTCCCCTCCCGGGAGTCACTGCACCCTCCCTCCCGGCTCCTCAGCTGGGGACCGGGGCTGGCTCTCCTGTGAGAACAGATCGTGTTTCAGGAGTGGGGGTCATAGTCCTCACAGGTATTAGGAGCAAAGGGGTGCAGCTTAGAATTCTGCTTTATGAGGAAAGAAACAAGAATTACCCTGTGTTATGGCTACTGTCAGAGCCAGTGGTCCCGG